CAAAGAGTCCAAAGATCTCGGGCTCATAGCGAGCGAGTTCTAGAGTCTCGGGGCCATTGTTGCAAAAGCTCTGTCTTCTTTAGTTCACAGCCTTCCATGATGCACAGCAAGCAGGCCCTGATCACATGACCTCAGGGACCTGCTGGGGTTGTATGGATGTAAAAGTTCACCGAATGTGCTGGTGCTTGTAAGTCAAAACCAAAATCTTAAGTTAAGTAGACTCTGAAGTTAATGGAGAGCCAGTGCAGCTAAATGTATGAAGTGATGTGCAAATACGATCCGAGATCATGCTAAATACACTCATCTCTGTCACTTAGAACAGCTTTGGTCATTCCAGGTTAATTCCTTTATTTGTGTTTAGATTCTTACTTGTCTGTTTGGTTTCAAGTGAAATCTACTCAGTTAATAAACTATAAGACTGCATACTTCTTTATTTATAGTAAACTGAATTTGATGTGATTTGTTGGAGTTATTTACTTAGTTGCAGGCCGACTGCCACATCTGCAGAACCTTCATCTGACCCCAGCATGCTTCAGTTTTTGATTGTTGCTCAGTATTCAGTGTTATAGATAAATACTGGAGATTACAAACCAAGTCTTCAGGGGCTTTAAGTACTGAGAAATCACCTCATGTTGAAACAGTGGAGAGTTTAATCCCTGCTACAAATTTCCCATGTGGAGCATTTCTAGGTTATATTTCATACTCAGTGCACTGACATGCCTTGACCATGATTTTATTTTCCAACTGAGCAAAGATTATTCTGGACAGTTGTTCTGGACAATTAACCTTGTTTTACCCACACCAGCCTGATTACCGAAAGTCAAGAGATCTGGACACGCAGCCACGCAACTGTCTGACCCTGTCAGTCCCCTCCCCTCCCCATCCTGCCTGCCTCTCTCATAATCAGTTGCATCCTGCTGCCTCTTGGAGGAAGGAATGTGACACAGAATGAAGCGCTCCATACACAAACTCCAGGATGAGTTATTTCAGTTAGAGTGCACGTCGTTAAGTTTGAATTTATCACCTCCCATTGCCCAAATGTTTGTTTGGCTTTGTTTTAAAATATAAATGACGATAGTTTTGTAGGATATTTAAAAACCTGAGTTTTACAATATTCCCTTTAAAATAATGCTAACATCTATAAATCAAAATGCATTTTTACTGTACGTGTGATGTCCTCCTTTTCTGCTGCTGCTGCTCCAAACATTATCAAACAAAGCTCTGACAATAATGCTTTGATGAGTGGAGAGTAATTACTCGTGTGCTTTATTCAAATTGGATGTATGTTGACATTTTGAGTCTGTTCAGAGAAATAACCCACTTCAGATGAGCATTAATCTGATTAAGAGCACAATTTATTTGGGTTTCCGTGCTCAATAGAAACCCTTCCTGCGCTGCTCACGGCCTGCCAATACACCAGAAGAGCCCAACCACTATGAATGGCCAACAGCTGTGTATATAGAGGGAGCACATTTCCCCTCGCGCTGAGGAAATAAAACACCCTGTTTCAGGTAAACACTGAGTCAGAGCTCACACAGCATACACATATGTGCAAGGACAGCATTTTAAATTTGCATGCATTATGTAATATTAAAAATGTGTTGCTTATGAGAATTGGTGAATGTCGCTATATTTGAATATATACAATAGGTTGTCATTATATTTACAGTCTGTATGTTTTATTTTTCTACTAATTTATCTAATTGAGCCCCTAAGTGGGTAATGCCACTTCAGTTTCTCTCAAAATGAGATGGTTTTAGGGGACAAACATTTGGTGCCAAGGCGCTTTGCTTGTGTGGAAACTTTTTAACACCGGCTGCAGTTCAAGCACGGAGCATGTCATAAATTATCTCCATACAATTTCCACTTGTAAAACATTTTTACTCACTGCATCGGCTTGTAGCCGTGTTTGCCTGGTGAAACATTATACTTTTGTGACAATATTTCAATATCTATCTCACTCTCTTATCCATTAAAAGAAAACTTCTAATTCCAGTCTAAAAAGAAATATTGCACTGTGAATTCAAAATTAATTAAAAAAAAAGAATTTTATCACCACAGGTTTCAGGTCAAAAAAAATGTAAAGCTGTAATACTGGCAGTAAAGATGTCTCCTCTAAACTGGCAGCCCCCAAACCTCAATTCATAAACCTGTCTTGAGATTATGTGTATGGTTGAGACACACAGTCTAACTACTTGGCCAGCTAAGCAATGGAAACAGTTCCTGCATGAGTATATTCTCACCGTTGATGGTGCATTTGAGAGAGCTAATGCACTAGCCTCGGTATGGTTAATACATTTCTATGAAACAACAATCAGAAACACATAGCCCCGCCATTCCTTATTTGGTTTGTCCCCTGGCGCATGCTAGCTTTCTCACAGCATTTCTTGGGAGTTTATCCATTATGCAAAGTAAAAATGCAAGAATATATTCAAAGCATAACAAACAGTTTGTGTTTGTGCTCCCTTTTTAAACTTGAAACCCTAAAATCTGCATCCAAGATTCCACAAAGGCTGCGTCAGTGTAACCATAGTGGTGCAATTTGGATAAATGGTGAAGATGAAAGCAGAATTACGTTTTTACATGCCTTCCAGACTGCTTGCACATTTTTCTAAAAGCACCAATGTCTGGGTGTGTAATTACACACCAAATGCTGTTTTTTGGGGGGGTTTTTTTGGCTTTTTGTTTTTTTTAATGGAAGTATGTGTCGGCACACAAACATTAGTCCCGACTCAAAGTAGGCACAAGATACGCCCATGAAAGAGCTCCTACTCAGGAGCTGCTGATGACAACAGCAGTATCAGAATAATCAACGACTTTGAATTAGTGATTCCTAGCTTAGTTGGTTTAATGAAACATGATATGCCTTATGAAATGTATTTCCCCTTGTCACAAGTTTAATATGTGTGATGTATTGAGCTAATATGAGCTCCCTTCCTCAAACTGTGTAGTAACTTAAAACACATAAAACCTTGGAAAAAGACATTTTTAAGAACTGTCTTGACTGTTTTTGTTCCTTTTATTCTTCTCCCTTGTCTACCTCCATTAAAGCTGATATAAGAGAACATCAAATAGTCATCTTTTAAGAGCCCATTAAAACCAAATAATCAAAATTATCGTGTCAATTCAATTCTATCGTATTCCATAAATAAATTATTATTCCAAAAAATAGTTAATTATCACTTAAGTAAATGTGTTCAAATTGTATCTATGGTACCTTTAAGGGACACATTCACATACATTAGTTACATGAGGTTTTCTGTTTTATGCCATTATTTTTGCCACATTTCAGCAGGAAGTATAGACTATACTCTATTGATTTCACAATGATCCAAAAAAAAAAAAAGAAAAGAAAAAAAATACAAATATTAAACCATTTGATTGTTTAAGGATTAACTGCCCAATATTAGATGAAAATATTTTTTTAAAAAATAACACTAAAATATATAATTTTTACACATTAATGAATCAGTGTGAAGCTGCTATTATATATATATATATATATATATATATATAAATAAAATTATTCCAAGGGGACATTCTGCTGTATTTTGAGAAAGCAAATTATTACTTTGCTAGTAGTACTTTTACACTTTGTGTTTCACTCAAACACTAAGTAATGTTTTGAATGCAAGATTTTAGTTATAACAATGTTTTCTAACATATGATTATTTTTTTACTACGATTATGGATCGTCTAACTGCTGCATAAAACTGCTGGACTAAAAGTGTGAGACTACAGATTTTATAAGCACTGCTTTGTGTGGACATGTATTTTGGATTATCTATTTTCCCATTAATCATGTGTGACCCCTCGAATTTATCTTGTGACCTCTGGTCTTGGAGCAATTTTGGGGAGGTGTGTAAATAAATAAATCTAAAAACTTTGAGCATTTTGATTGTCCTGAGACCATTCTCTATTTGAGCATCATTATTTTAACAGTGTCCGTCTATGATAAACAGAAATGTGAAGCCATTTGACCCCTGCTAGGGAATGCTGGGAGTCATAATGGTTGGTTTGAAGGGGTTGGACATCCCTCCAATGTCAGAGAGACAGAGAAAAGACACGGGGTGTGGTTGGTTAAATGCGAGACACCCCCTTTGTACTGTTTCAACAACATGGGGGGACATCTGGCACTGGCAATACTGCCCAGTGTTGAGGTCTCCATCGGCTTTCTCAAGCAGTGAGCTGTGCAGCATTGAAGCACTGCCTGCACATTCTCATGCTAATACCCAAAAGGCAGGAGCAGATGTGAAACATTTGGTTCTGTTCTTGTTCACTTGTAAAGAAATAATGTGTCCCGTTATCATTATTTCACTTTTTTTGTTCTTCTATGTGTTATATATGTGTTATAAAAAGGAGTTCATGGCGGAGGCCATCTTCTTTGGTGGCCCCACTTAGGTTGCATGTCTCCCTCTCACTGGCAGAAAAAAGTGAGTGTCTTGGGGATTTGAGGAGTGATTTTGTCATCTGGGTAGATGCTGCCATAGTAATTTTAGAGGGAATGGTGCACTTAACATTTGCAAAATTGCTCCTGCAAGCATGACAGACGAAGTAGTGTGTGTTTAGCTTAATGTGTGTTTCAAACCTTCAAGAGTTTATTATTATGCATTATAATGTTTTGAGAATTTGACTGTATTTTACTAGTTATAGTGTATATGATCATTCTTTTAAAACTCAGAAAATGACCTTAAGGAGGTTAGGCTTATTTAAGCCTAACCTCCTTAAGGTCATTTTCTGAAATTCGCATATCTGCCTTTATTTAGGATTTTCGCGAATCTCTTTGTAATTTTTTCTACCGTGTATTTTAGTGTGTAGCATTCCCCCTGTCGGATAATTTTAACTTTAATTTGCACATGCAGATGCCATCTAATTTCGCAGAGTGGCTGTGCAACAGTGTCCCCGCCCCCACCTGGAATATCATTGGCTCCTATCTGCTTCTCTCTTGATATTATTGGCCAGAGAGGTGCCTCTCAAGAAACTTGACGTGCGAGACAAGTTTACAACTCTATACACGTGCTGCTGGTATGTCAGGGAGAGATGTGGTAGCATCCTTTACAGAGCAAGGATAGCACAGACTTTATTACCTGTGTGTATGATTCGCTGTACGCTCACCTTTCAGGGGATACTGTGGCACAGTTATTGGGGCAAGTTCTTAACACCTGTTCACAGCAGGCATCCATCATTTGGCACTTTTGGAGGAGATTGAGGTGTTATCCACAGCTTACTGTGGATGTAGACACTTTAGTTCCTTCATGGCAAGAAGACTCAGTGATGTGCGCCTAGCATGGCTGTGGCTCCTGCACCGACCACCAAGGGACCGGTATGGCTTTTAGCCGCATCACTAAACTGGACCCCCCGTCCCGAGGCATCTTCAGGAAAGCGGTGGTCATGCTGTGCTCCCTCCTCGCCTCTTTTTTCCTCCTGCACCTCCTCACCGAAAGCTGCACCACCACCACCGGCAACTCACCGCCCAGAGGCTCCTCTAGTCGGACTGCTGGTCTTTTCGAGGACCTGAGTTCGCTGAGGACCAAGAGACTGGTATATGAATGGACTGGCGGATCGGAGTTGAACCGCTACGGGACCGCCGCGCGCACCTCACAGGTCCTCGCGGATGAGCGCGCGACGCAGGATTCGGAGCTGCCCGAAGAGGCTCTCGTGCTGCCACCTCCGGATTTAGTAGTTTCCAGGAGAGTGTCGCCCAGGTTCGCAGGTAAAGTCAGTCCGCTCGGGGAGGGGAGCAAGAAGCTACCTCAGGCTCTCATCATCGGGGTAAAAAAAGGAGGGACCCGGGCTCTGCTTGAGTTTCTTCGGGTTCATCCTGACATCAGAGCCGTGGGAGCCGAGCCGCACTTCTTCGACCGAAACTACCACAACGGGCTGGAGTGGTACAGGTGAATATTTAATAAAGTAATTTTTTTTATAAAGAGAGAGAGAAAACACACACTCACACACACAATTTAAACACTTCAGTTAATATTACGCCTGAACATTCCCCAACTTTATTATCAGTCTCATTGAAATCTGTGCAATGTTTTCGGTCATTAAATTGCCACGATGATAGATTGTGTTTTTCCAGCATTTTATTTCCCCCCACAACCACATCACTGATAAAGGCTGTTCCTCATAACCCAGAAATCTTTATTTAACATCTCAGCTTTTATAGAGGTAGCCTAATTGCAGCTGGAATAAGCACTGAGGACAGTCTGTTGATTTATGAAAGCTACATTAGGCCTGTTTTCATTAGATGTTATCGGGCTGCTCATTTTGTTTCACATTTTGGGGTTGACTGCCTTTTAAGTTGCTTTGGTTCGAGCCATAGTGGAGTCAGAGTTTAAGGCTTCATTAGGCTGGGAAATAAGACAAGGGTAAATCAAAGTATTTAAAAAAAATCAGAGTGTTGAGGAGTAATTTTCTCTTAGCGCTTAAAATCAATTTCTTTCACCTTTAATAATTTAGTAGTGAATACTTTAATGTATGTGGTAAGTTCAGCGAAGACCTTAAAGTTAATTATTTATCAAGGGGATTTAAAAAACAAAAAACTCAGACATGAGGCTTTATCCAAGATTGTCAGTCTCATGTGCTTTTATAAAAACCCAGAGAAAGTGAAAAACTCTTCATCAACAAAAGCTGAAACAAAAACAATTTACTGAAGAAAAATTACAGCAGTGAAGGTTTTTGACTGTGTTTTTGTGGCATCAGGACAAAGTTTGTCCGTGTGTGTAATAAAAAATAAATAACTTTGAATGTTAAAAAAAAACAAAGACAAAAAATAAACAAATAAAAACCCACAACTTCCTTGCCTTGCCGACGTTTTCTTTCTTTTTCTCGACACGCAGCATTACTTGAGTGTTAATTCTGATCACTTTAAATCTTGTCTGGCAAAAGTGGAAGTCTAAACACCGATCCCGCATAAACACACTACCCTCCTTCAATGTCTCAATTTCCCAGTGACGGAGTGCGATGCGTTTTTCTCACTCAAGTCAAATTTGTGATTGATTTCATCTGTCAGTGCGAGTGTGTGTGAGTGAGTGTTTTGTGTTCACATTTCCACAGGCCTGTGGGGAATAATGGCTCTTCCTCTCAGTGGTTCTCTGTGTAATGGGGCATTGCCGACATTGCGGCTCTGTTATTAAGAAGGATTAGGGCCATAATGAAAGGTTACCTGAGTGTCTCAGGAGGTATAATTCACCTTTTGATTGAGTTAGCACTACACGCAGCACCCTCTAAAAGCCTGGAGACAAAACTTTAACTCTCACCAACAACTCCCTCCAGACCCTTCTCCTTTTCACCCTCCCACCCTTCCTCCCCCAAACACTCTGGCTTTCTCCCATCTCCCACTCACACACCTCCCTCTTTGTGCCTCTCTGAGAGTGAACATTCTCTTTTTGCCATCACTCTTTCACACCCTTCTGTTTACCTATTCATCCATTGTGAGGTTTTATATCCATAAGGGTCCCATCTATCCCGAGGAGTTGCCAAGATTCTCTGGAATTTGGACCGTGCCTCCAAGGACAGACCTTAGTGCCGGTTCGCCTTAATGCTGCCCATTTAAAACAGAAAGACCCTTGAAATGAAAGAGGCATAAATAACTGTTACAACAGCATGGCCCACTCTACGGGAGTTCATCTTGTCAGCTCTCCTCTACAGTCTGAGAATCTTCCTGTTTTGTGGGTTTTTGGAAGCGTTTGATTGAGCTGAATCCATTTGAAGTTGCTGGCCCGAGGTCATCTGAAGGTGTTTTTGTGCACTTCAGAAGCACTTGTTGAAACAGGGGAATCGATTTGATTGCTAAAGTCTGCCATCCCCTCTTGAAAATCGGTGCAGCCTCTGTGCCTCGGAGCTACTGTCATTTTACTAATGGTTATAAGATTTCAACGCTGTGGGAATGTTTAAAACATGTCTGACATGCGATAGGCTGAAATCTTTGTGCCAGGACTACACTGCTTGGTGGACAAACCCCCCCCCACACACACACACCCCAAAAACTGTTGGTGTTTGTAGAAAACAGGACTAGATTTGTGTGACTAATCACTGTGTCCAATTTCTTGAATTATGTGATTCTTTTCATTAGCAACAGTGAATACTTAAAACACTGGGGCTTCCATTTTAGAAGACTTTGTTTATTGTCAAGGACGCCATGTGTCTTCAGTGTGAATCCCTCGTCTCTGTCTCCTAAGGGAATGCGTGGAACGTATTTTAACACCTCTAAGCTCTTAATGTCACATGGCAACATCTCTGGCATCCTTTTCCAGCTTTCCCAGAATTATACTTGTCTGGCTTGTTCTTGGAATTTCCTTCAACTGCCCTAAAAAGTTGGTTCCGCACCAAAAGATATGATGCAAAAATCTGTCTACCAGGAAAGATAAAAGTTTTAGTATTGACACCACAGCTGTACGAGCATGAAACATGGGGGGGGGGTTAAACTTGTAACTTCACCGCATTTCCAAAAAACTGAGTATTTTTGCAATATTATGACTCACCATCTGCACTTGTTTAGATTCTGGTTGGGTGTTTTTGGGTGTTCCCAGCTAGCATATCCAACTTGTTGACCTTACCTCAGTTAAAATGAAATGGAATAGATTTTAAGGCAAGGCAAGGCAAGGCAAGGCAAGTTTATTTGTATAGCACAATTCAACAACAAGGTGATTCAAAGTGCTTTACAGAGACATTAGAAACAAGAACAAATAAATAATAATAGATTTAAAGCAAAAACGTATTTTCTTTAGCTTTTTTAATAAATAAAATATCTGGTTTTTCATGCACCGCTCGTCCACAGGAGCATTTCAGATGTCTCAGCTGTGTCCTCGTGGTAGATTTGGGTCTTTTGTTGTACAAGAAACTAACACCCAGCCCAATTGCACAGCCAGTCAGTGTTACATTTCACTACACATTACTCTGAATAACCACACACAACCTATTAGGCTTTTGTTGTGGAAATGGACACTCAGAGTGAACAAGGAGGTCAAGCACAAGTACTCTGAAGTAAAGCAGAGGTCCGCGCTACAGAGTAGTCACTATTATGTTTTTGCCCTACTTAGGTTACTGAACACCCAAGCTTTCACCTGTCTAGACCCTGCCATTGCAGTTTTTTGTTTGATGTCCACAGACCGGTTGGATTAAGCTTCACCTGATCCCTTAATGGGTTAATTACCCTTCCTACAAACATGTGTGACCACAAGGGCATGGGTAAACACAAGGGTAATGTGCCGCCAGCTCTGCTGCACATATATTCATATTACAAAGGTATTCAGTGGAGAAATGCAGGATTTCGTCTTTAAAGCACTAACACGGACACACAGGGCCAAAAACTGGCAGCTTATGTATCAGCAAATTTTTAAAGTCTCCGTCTATGATTTTTCTCATACGTGTAATACTTAAAGCCACGAGAAAGCAAATGAAAACATTATGCTTGGATTTTTAAAAAAAAAGCAAAGCTAAAAAGAAACACATTAAATTAGGGGGTTTCCCCGTTCATAAAACTGGCCATATTTGAAAGGAAGTTCTGTAATGGCTATAAAACAAGTTTTAATCATAAAAGCAGTGACCCAGCGGGGACTTCTGTTAGAAACGAGCCGTGTTTTGTAGCCTGATATGTGTTTCTTTGCCGTACGGCGGTCACAGTAGAGACGGGAATGAACATGGAACAAGTAAAATATTCTCGTTCTGTTTTAAATACACTTAAAGGTCCAGATGTAAATGTGTGTCATGATAACATGCGTCCTTTCTACATTTTAATCCCCTGAATGCAATGGACTTTATTAGTTTTTTAAATTGATTACAATTTTCTGTATTATGTTACTCATCTTGAAACTCCATTTGTTAAAATAAAATTTAAAAAGTGAAGTCTGATGGTGAAAAGCTGGTAAATTCCCAGGAATTGAAATGAGGCCAACTTCCAACTTTGTTCTTTCCAGTGTGTTTACAATGAGTTACAGTGAGTTGTGTGGCAGAGTTTAAACTACAGTCCTGTTTGCTGCTGCCTGATATTCCCCCTTTCCTTCTGAGAGTGAAGCAGCTTGGGGGAACTAGTGGAAAGAATGACACGGCTCAAAAAGGGAGAGGTTAGCTGTTAATAATAAAAAAAAAACTGTGTCAGCATCTTTAGCCTGTCACAAATTCATACAATTTAGCAAGTATAAAAAATGGAAATTGGATAAAAAAAAAACCCATAAAACTTGCAAACATTTTGTTTTGTGCCTGGATCAGCTGGAAGATGAGGAAAAACATGTGTGAGAGCGTGTATACATTTATATTTATGTGCAACTTTAAATACTTTTAAGTGTATCCCGGTCAGGAATGACATGTTCGTCCGAGTCGTAAATAGATCTGCTCACTTGAAAATAATTCGGTTCATGCCACCCACTAGCTTTGCACCTCTGTGTATACCGATTCTACTTCACTTGCCTATCTGGAATTTTGCAATATGATCGGATTTGAAATGTCCTAGACCGTTTGTCTGGCCTTATTAGTCTCTGTGTGCGACATTTAAAAATATATCAATATGGTCTCTTTATAGATGCTTTGAAAGGAGCAATTTGTTGTATCTATTCTCCAAGGCACTGTGAAGATTTTAAAAACAGATTTCAACCATTTCCTCAAATGGAATTCCTGTTTGATTTATCTTGTTTTGACGCCACATTGGAAAATACTAAGCAGTTATAAGTTACCTTGTTAAAGGGCTGTGGAAATTACTGATTTTCTGATGTGGTTAGACATTTTTCGTCATAATTAGACATAATTAGACGTAAGAGTGGAACTTAGTTTGGTAGGGAACGTTTTTTTCCTGCCCAACATAGAAACATTATACATAAAACTGCTTTACAGTTGGTTTAGCTTGTGAGTTTAAATTTAAATATTTTATTTTATATTATTTTTATTATTTTATATTATA